CGCTGTTTTGTTTCCATGTTTCCTCTTTAAGATATAAGCCCGCCTGTCCATTCTATCTACAACTTGAGGTTATATATATATATATATATATATGAAAATCACAAAAACACAGAAAATGCAAAATCCCAGAGCATCAATATAATATGATTACATAGTGACAATGGTAAGCCTGATAATAAAGAACATGTATGTGTGTGTGTGGCGTTGGCAAGTGGTTTACAAGTGAACGAGATGACTGATATCCATTGGGTAAGTGAAGATTGGAAGGAGAGATTTGTAGGCAAAGGTGGCCAAGAACTTATTGACAGCCTCAGTAGGATGAAATGAATCAAAGAACATATTCAGTTTCCTCTCTGCGCATGGTGATTTATTAGGATCACACATCCCATCTGCTCTTACTGGGCAGCAACCAGATTTCCCAATGCTCCTTAAACCTGAAATCCCATGTTCATTCAACCTATCAAAGTAATTTAATATATAAAACGAGTATAGATATATGTATCCACGCACCATCTAAAAGTGGGCTTTTGGATGAGATTAATGCATTGTTGATGTAGATAAATTTGGCATCAGAAAACTCTTTATTGAACTGATCCACGAGTTGTCTGAGCTTGTCATTGAAAATGAGGACTGCTCTGTTCTCCTCTTCAACACATAAAGACCCATCCCCATGATTCATAAGTTCATTTGGAACACATCCCAGAAGGAACAACCCAAACAACGCAAATTTCCTTGATCCGAGTTCCTGCAAAGCCTGCAACACAACAATTAACAGATATATGAAGACCCAAGCTAAGGCAGACAAGTTTTTGTGGAACAGAGAGAGACCTAGAATACATATTGTAAGGAGGGTAGGTACCCTTAAGTGCTGAGAATATTCCTGAATAAGGACTTCAGCGAACTGCTCAGGGTTATAGATGCTGCTTGTTGGGAAGTATTGTGGCAAGAAGTAATTCTGAAGGTAATCATTGCTTCCTATATTCACATAATACAAGCATTTATTTAGGTATTGTCGACCTTTCTCAGGACCTCCCAGTTTGCTTGCAATTTGAGAAACCATGGCTCTATGATTTTCTATCTGCAATTCCAAGCTGATCTTTGCACCCTGCTCATGCATTACCAAAGTAAATGATTCGCATGTCCATTAACTACTCGCTAATGAACAAACTAGCTCATCAAACCATCCTCCAATCAAAAAGCTGCTTGGAGTTAGGTTCAAGAGACCGAATCACTGATAACTATAGTTATACCAGATGCGTGCCAGTGTCATTGCGAATTCCAGAGGCCCCAGACGCATAGTTGACACCCTTAAGTATATCTGAATCACTGATATTTGCAAAGGGTGGTATCAAGTTCTCAAATCCCAAACGTTGAGCTGTGATAATCAAACAACTTGAGCCGCAATAACAGAAGTAAACAGAAAATTAATTAAAGAAGTAATTAAAGAAATGAATATTACTGATGAAATCTGCAGTAGTGCGGCCATTGGTGAACCTCCCAGTTGGGCCAGAGGGGAAGTCGATGCCATAAGGAAAGTAATTAGCTTTGGCTGAAGTTAAGAGGTGGTTGTTGTTTCCACTGTCAGATAAAGAGTCTCCAAATATGAAAATGCAAGGTATTTGAGGCTTCCCTTCAACCCCACAGCCATGCTGCATCACTGCACGAAGAAGAAGAACAAGAAGATGAACCACCGACCATGAACTCTTCATTATATCCATCACGAATTGTGGCGTTTAAGACTTCAAGCACGAGAGAGAATATAATTTCGACCATAATTTAAACCTTTTTTATATAGATAATATGGTTTAACTGGACGATTAATTAGTACCTCAAAGTACTCAACCTTGAGAAACTTCCTGCTGCTTGTTAACAAACATCGTAACTAAGTAACAAGTACACTTATCAATTTCTTAATCCTTAAACTTCTAAAACCTTTTTGCTCTATCTCATATTTTATTGAATATTGTGGGGAAGCCATATGTTTCATCTTTTATTTCATTTATTGTGTAGAAGCCATATGTATACCTGGCTAGCTCAGTACTAATGAGGTCTAATTAACATTAACACATAGTTTGACAAATACTACCTCCAGTCCTAATTATAAGAGCTAGTTGACTAATTTGAGGAGATTAAGAAAATGAGTTAAGTTAGTTAATTGTAATAAATAGGTGTTGTCTTTCCTAAAATATCTTTGCTAATCAAGTGTGTTGGCTAGAACATCATTATGAGAAGAACTATCTTAGAAAAAAACTGCATAAATATTAGAGACAAAGTGGATCGGGGTCTTATATTTAAGATCAAAATAAAAGTCAAAAAACGTCTTATATTAAAGACTAGAGGTAGTATATAACAAGTTTAGGGAAAGCTAGGGCCAAGCTGTTTGTTATTCAGAGCTTGTCACCAAAAAAAAGCTTCATATATAAATGCTTTTTTCAATCTGAAACATAGGATCAAATTGAGGGATTTGCTTATATATATATATACTCCTCCGGTCCTTAATATAAAACCCATTTAACTAATTTAATTAGATTAAGAAAGTTAAGTAAGTTAGTTAATTATAAGAAATGTGACATGTTTTTGCTAAAATACTATAATCATCTTTCTTAACACCCCCTTCCTCTTCTACTTGATTACGGTTGAGGAAGTATCTATAGGGGTAATTTAGAGAAAATTGATAAATATAAGAATGGGTCTTATATTTAGGACCAAAACTAACTTAACAATTGGGTCCTATATTAAGGACCGGAGGAGCATGTATCATTTAATATTTTCTCCACATTATCTTTAGTAATTAGGATATAATTATTAGAAGATGGTTTAATTTTAACTCCAAGTTTAAGTAGTATCCCAGAATTCTCGTCTCTGAAAAGCTTCCTACTGCTTTGGTTGAGATACAATCTAGAAATCACATAGGACAGAACTGGGCAGAAGAAGACGAGGCCAAGAAATAATTACAGAAAAGAGAAAAAAGGTAAGAGAAGATGATTCAGTCATCAGCATACCCAATACGCGCAACTGCCATGAGAAGAAAGAGGACGTTGCAGAACAAAGTTACAAGAATATCCCTCATTCAATATAGTAAAAGACAGAAATAGCCTTTAATCAAACTAAATTTGCCTAACACGCTTCTTAACAACTTGAATTCAGCATCGTAATTAAGTAACAAGTACACTAATAAATTTCTTAACCCTTAAACTTCTAATTATTTCTTTTTCCCTTCGCCTTTTTAGCATAATAATTAACCAATTTAATTGTCTTGCGCACATCTTCGCCTTCAAAAGAGGACCATAATTATGAACACGAACAGAAAAGAGTAATTTTTTGAACCAAAATATTGTTGGATAACTCTTTTTTTTTTTTTTACATAAAATTAATTAAGAAAATTTTCAATGTTGTTGATAAATCACATGTTTGTATACAAATTAAAATTGATGTGGGTCAGCCCACTTTGTGACCATCCAATAATCAAGCATGCATTGTTCTTCACCTGATGACATGTCACGCACGTGGTAATTATGGTGATATTTCCATATAGAGCACCTACTATTAGGTTAGAAATAATTATGATTAATAGTTAAATAACTCTTTTGACCAAATTATATTGGCGCCGCAACCGCCATATTATTCAAACTCTCACTCTTCATTGGGTTTTCCAAGCACGATGTTGGCCAACCTAACATTTTCTTTCGACACGTGTAAACACACAGTCACACACATTATATACGTAGCTCGTGTGTGTTGGGGGGGGGGGATATCCCCTTAATTTTAGATAAATTGCTTGTCCATGCATTAAAATTTCATATTTTGGTTCCATTTTTGAACCCACAAATATATCAATAAACATGATGGATATTTAAAATTCTAAACCCAGTAAGCTTAATCTCTCACATATAAATATAATTGACTTTGAAGTTTTTCTTTGCATATTTAATATTTTAATTTAGACCCAATAAATTCAAACTTAAGCTAGGAATTTAAGCGCTAAATCCAAGATGGCCATATATAATTAACACAACCTAAAAACAAACATATTCGTAAGTTAGAATTGACTTTTCTTCTAAGTTATAATTTTAAAAATATTATTGAAATATAATCGATATGTTGTCAAGCAATTATAATTTTTTTTAAAAAGTCAGAATATAAGTATATTGAAACTCTTATTTTTATATGATTATTCTTTTCAACCTTAATTAACCATTTGTACCGATTAAATTGTTTGTTTATGAATGGCTCTGTTTCTTAACATCCTTTGATATTTATTTGCATACGATTTAAATATACTTATAGATTAATTTCAAAACAGATCAACTTTATCTTAACGTTAAATATATTTTATTCATATAATAAATTTTTAATTTTTTGAATATAATGTTAAACAAATTAATAAAGAAAATTCCGCTTCACCTAGCTGTAAACATCCTCGTTCTACCACAGTGCCTATACAGCATGAATTGAACACTTGTGGAGCGCAATTGGAAATTTGGAATTGATGAACAGTAATGTTAATACTGCTCATACATATTATTCAGATAGAAGTAATATTAAAACCCATACATTTTTATATTTGCCGAAGCAATTTGGGTTGAATAGTTATAGGTAATTGTGGGAATTATTAATAATAAGATGATACAGTCATATATATAAATGAAGCGAGGCCTGGTGCTTCTTCTTCGTCACGGGGAGGGATTAAGAAAAATAGCTAAACAGGCGATATCGGCAGGGTAAGTGAAAGCTGGATTTGATGCATTATATGCAGAACTCGCAAAGATTCTGTTGACAGCCTCAGTGGTATGAAACCCATCCCAAAATACGAACTCGTCCCTGTTCTTGCATGGCGTCCCGTTCGCAACACACAGCCCCGTCGACGCCACCGTTTGGCAACAACTTGCGTTTACAACCTTGAACCCTGAAATATATATATATATATATATATATATATTAGAATTATACTATTATTTATATGAAGGGAATAAGAAAAATGGATATATATACTGAGGAAGTCAGGGTTGAGGGAGAAGATGGCAGTGGTGTTGACAAAAATGAAGGTGGGCGGGATTAGCAGGGAAGTCTGAGTTGAGGCGATCAACCAATTGTCTGAGCTTTTCATTAAACATGGAGGCCGCTGTGTTCTGCTGTTGCACACACGAGCCATTATTTGCTGCAGTTACCGCCGGCGCGCATCCGATGGACCCCAAGCTCACCAAAGCAAACTTTCTGCCTCCTACTGCATGCAACGCCTTCCATCCCCAACACAATTACACACACACACATTAATTCCTCTCATTCTTAGAGATTTTGTAGAAAACCATATATGTGTGTATATATATATATAGAGCATGATATGTATATATATACCCTTAATTGCCGAGAATATTGAGCAATAAGAAGATCAGTGAACTGGGTTAAGTTGTAGATGTGGCTTGATGGGTAATACTGGGGCATGAAATAGTTGTTTAGGTAATCGTTGCTGCCAATATTGACATAGTATAAGCACTTATTTAAGTATCTTCGGGCTGCTTCCACACCCCCAAATCTCGCAGCAATGGCAGAGGCTGTGATTCCATGATTCCTTATCTGTGCGTCCATGCTGATATCGGCACCCTAATATCCAAATCAAACCGATTAATTACTGATTCCATCAAATCAAAATATGAAGAACAAAAATGAATACCATTTTCTTGCCGGTGTCAAAGAGAATTCCTGCAGCACCAGAAGCATAATTAACCCCTTTCAGAATATCTGAACCTCTTGTATTTGCAAAGGGTGGAATCAACGGCAACCCCATAAGTTCAGCTGCGAATGTAATCACATCAACCATAAATATACGAGTTAGTACAACCTAAAACAAACCATGGTTTTAGCGGTTTTTAAATGTAAAACCAATCAAACATGCTCTAAACTACAATTCAGGATACAGCAATATAATGCATACATGAAGCATGTTAATTAATAATAAGAAATATAGTATATGGTTGGAGGATATAAATGAATAATATAAAAGAGAGAGATGTTAGGTACAGGGAAGTCGGGGGCAGTGCGGCCATTGGTGGCTCTTCCGGTGGCTCCGAAAGGGAAGTCGATGCCATAGGGAGGGTAATTGTATTTAGCCAAGGTGGGAAGGAGGTTGTTATTTCCATGCTCAGACAAAGAGTCTCCAAATATGTACATACAGGGCTTTCCCTCTGCATAATAAGTTGCAGCCACCGCCATCACCAGCTGCAACATCCAAAATACCTTATTACTCTTACAAATCCCCATCTCTCTCTATTCACTGGCATACATACGATTCCTCTAATTTGATGTGTGTGTTGAGGCATATGCATATACACATCTATTTATAGGGCATTTTTGCGAGTGTTGGACTTTAGGATTGCATCATGCGCCCTTGATGGTCGGGTTATTTGATTGGGATTTTCTAAATTTAATTTATTATCCAGTATTTTGCATTAATTGCAAAATTGTTAATTGAGAGGTAAGTAAGGAATATTTCCTCTAAGATATGGAATTGACAAAGTTTACTAAATATGAGAGTTTCCATCTTGTTATTAATATACTACCTCCGATCCCAATTATAAGACCTCGTTTATATTTTGTAAATGAGTTCTTATAAATAAGACTGGAGGTAGTATTATTCTTCTCACGATGTTTACATTAGTTTCTCCTCCTTCTAACGATTCAGTTTTTCAGCCATTTCCTCCCCCCCCCCCTCCCCCTTCTATCTTGTGTGATGCATCCGTTGTGATATTCCAGTTTTTGCTCTGGTAGTTTAAACTCAATGTAGGAGTTTTGGGGATCCGATTCACATTTGCACCCTCATTTAATTTTATTTCATTACGGAGAGGAATCAAATCACAACATTCTGATCTTAGTTTTGACTACGTGATAGAACTTCCGTAAATTAATGAGCACCCAAGGCCCCGATTGGATCTATATAATGTAGGCAAGTTGGCGCGCCTAATTACCGCTTAGTGCCGTAATATCATTAACATATGCTCATTCCGGTAATTTTTATAAAGTCATATTAAAAGAAAATTAATTAAATGTCAAAATTTTAAAAATCGCCCATTGATTTCTATAGTTCATCGGGAGCAACAATGACCTGAATTTTGTTTTTTAAACGCATCATACATATTTTATTAAATCTTATGCAGGAACTTATATTAAAGTTTAATGGATAGGTGTCCTGTGGTAAACAGAATTCCCCCCCCCGGGGGGGGGGAGAGTAATTGACAAATATAATATTGAAACTTTGAGCGGTGGTAATAAAGGCTTCAAATATTAAAAGGAATTTATATATAAACTTGAATGGAAGAAACAATTTGCATACTACTCAACATGATCATCAACAAGTTTGACTTTTAAACTCTGCCTCGCTATTTTTTCTCTCAATCTTGCGTCAATATACCATACTCTTAATTATTCTCTCACAATTTGCTCATGGAGATTGTGGCTCCAGGTGCACTTGCTTGCCTCCCTGTACGTCACACCTTACTACTTCTTCTCACCACACGACACTTTCATTATTCTGCACACGCTATTGCAAATTCATATATATATATATATGTATTGTTCGCTCTCTGTTGTTTTTGTGTTAATGAACATATATATATATATGTGTATATATTTATTGCGATATATGTTGCCACCACAACATCTGATCAAGTCGGTTTTACAGGCAGATCGGTGCATCGCCCTTAAAGAGTAAACCCCTTGCATGTAGGTGGTGATGAGTTCAATCCAGCACAGAACTGGTTTAGCAACCTTCTAATAGTTCAAGGACAAAAACAATTAAAGGTCAGTTTCATGGGCGGTTCTTTGAATTAGAAAGACAGATTATATAACAGTCTCAAGTTACAAAAAGAATTGAACCCGAGATTTATATCACTTATAAGTTGCAAATTAATAGATGAAACCTGTTGTTAAGAACAATTAAGAATTTTATCCAGTGGAAGGAGTAAAAAGTAATAAATATAATCATACATATAAGTGTTGATTATTTATGCTTATTGTGGTAATTAAAATAGACAGATATATGATGAAGCGATACAATTGGCGTTCATTGTGATGAGGAAGAGAGCAAGAGATCATTGATATCCATAGGATAAGTGAAGGCTAGATTTGATCCGTTATATTGCTGATAGTGCAAGGATTCTGTTGGCTGCGTCTGCATTATGAAAGCCATCCATAAATACATATTCTTCCCTGTCCTCACATGGCATCTCGTTTTTAACACACAGCCCAGTAAACGACACCAACTTTCGGCAACAAGAAGACTTCTGAACCTTCAATCCTGAAATAGAATAAACATACATGTCCACAGGCACATATTCCCCAACTCATCATTAGTACAAGATTAGAAGTTTATATGTACGACATTAATGTTTTAATATATATATATGTACACATACACACCCCAGAAAGTGAGGGTTAAGGGTGGTGATGGCGGTGATGTTGACGAAAATGAAGGAGGCGTCGCCGGAGAACTGTGAATTGAAGTGAGAAACCAGTGATCTGAGCTTTGAATCAAACGTCGAGGCGGCTTCGTTCTGCTCTTGTGCACAGCTACCACACTTGCTAATTTGTCTTGGAAGGCATTCTATCTGCCCCACTTCAACAACCGTCACCTTTCTTGCCCCTAGTTCATACAAATGCTGCCCCCACATATTGACAATTATTACTCATTGAATTCTTATTCACCCGTAGAAGTTAGGTAATTAATTTACAAATAATAAAAAATTAGTTAAATTAGTTATTTATAAAAACATGAATTAATTTTCCTAAAGTGCCCTTTTAAGCATTTGCATTGAAAACCATTATTTTTTTTTTTTACCCAAAATCAACATGAAGAGTTTAAGTGAAAAAAATCAACCATTATTTTCTTGCCCTGTTCAAGTAATCATTGCCTCCAATATTGACGGAATATAAGCACTTCTGCAAGTATTTCTGGGCCGCTTCAATGCTCCCAAGTCTGCCTGTAATAGCAGCAACTATGACTTGCTGATTGTTATCTGTGATCCCATGCTGATATCAACACACTGATATATACAAAGGAATTCGTTAATATATAATTCCCATTAATAAAGGGGGAAAAAAATGAAACGCCAAGTTGATGAATATAAATATATAAATATAGTTGCATATTGCATGCCGGCCTCTGGCAGAATTCCTGCAGCACCAGATGCATAACTAACCCCTATAAGAATGTCTGAACCACTTGTATATGTAAAGGGCGGAATCAAGAGATTGAGCCCCACAAACTTAGTTGTAAAATCACCTAAAATTGTTAGTCTAATAAGTAGAAGCAATATGTTTAGTGAAATGAGTGATATAGGAAGGAATATTACTGAGGTAGTCGGGGACAGTGAAGTTATTGGTGAACCTTCCGGTGGCGCCGCCGGGGAAGTCAATGCCGTAGGGAAAGTAATTACATTTGACGGCGGTGGGAAGGTTGTTGTTGATGCTGCCATTGTCAGAGAAGGAGTCGCCAAATATATATGAAGAAGCAAGGCACTTGAGGATCTTCTCTTGCACATGTTTGCAGATAATAAGTTACAGCCACCAGCATCTGCACCAACCTCCGCATACACCGACTATTCTCACTCTCCATATTGAGACAACGATATTAATTAAGAGTGATATTTGATTGAGGCACGAGATCACATGGGTTTTTCCGTGTAAGGCGTGTACGTTGTTTATATAGTGTAATTTGACTTGTTGGTTTATATCTGTCATGAACTAAAATATCAGCTGCATTGTTCACAAGTAATAAGTATGGTAGCTTGTTGATGTATATGTCATGAATCTCATTCATATTAGGGAGGTCACCTTAAGATAGTGGCCTAGACTCTCCAACTTTAATGGCTAGCATTTGGAGTGTGATTTTCTTAAGAACTTGTACTCATTACAATAGTACTTCCATTGAGCGCCGGCTAACTAAGGAGGGCTACCTATAGAGGGTTCTAATTACCAAGAAGCTAAATGGAGTGTCATGGTGAGGGGCTACCGAAATGTCACCTCTCAAGTAGGGTGCATTGTCATGAGTCCCGTATTGAAAAGGTTCCCTTGAAGTAAGGGCCTTATATAGAAGGCCTTAAGCTCTCCAATTTCAATAGTTGCCTTTTGGGAAGTGTTTCTCCCAAAAACTTGTGCACGTTATAATACACTCATCAGTTTAACTAACTTTTGCTCACTAAGCATTAACATGCAAAGTTCTCGTATGGCAGCTAAATTTGTACTCACGATCTTGTAGGTTTTTTTTAGTCAACTCTTTACCATAACTGAACCAACCTTTGTTAGCAAAACAAGTTACTTAGAATCTTATCCTAACTTTAATCTTTCTTATTCAGAAAGACGAAACATATATATAATATGAACAATTTAGAAAATAATATACATATATACATATATATGTATATATAATTATAAATAACTATGGGATCTCTGGTAAATAATTGTCACCTTCTCATTAATGATGTTACAATGGAAGCAATTTTTTTTAATTATCCTACATTCATGCGTTGGTTTATGATTTCTGATTGGATTATTTGATAGATCAGTTTGGGTTGTTATTCATTGATTAGTATGTAGTAATTAAATATGGCTGGTATGCTGGTGGGTATAGTTTATCGTCTATTAATGAGTTTGTTAAATATTCTTGGAGTGGTTACATTTTCTTTGCTATAAATACGTGGTGAGAATTCTCTCTCTGCTGGTCTTTGGATGGGGGTTATTTTCTTTTTTCCCCCGTATTCTTGCCTCTTTTACCTTTGGTTTTTACTACTACAATATTAATAATTAATTACTCTTCTGGTCCTATTTATAAAACATTTTTAACATATTTCACACAAATCAAAAAAAATTATAAACCGCATTAACTCTCTGCTAAAATATAATAATTTTTCAACCTTATTCCTATGTAATAAATACGCTCTTAAAAAAAGATAATTATCCACATTCTAATAAATAAATAACAAAATAGTACATCCATGCTAAAAATTTAATAAAATCACCTATAAATAGGATCAAAAAATTTTCTCTCTCTTTGTCCTATAAATAGGACCAAAGGAGTATAATACTAGGATACGAAATAATATACCCATACAGGTAGACGACGCCGTTTTACGATTCAATCACTTGCGCACGTTTTGTTGGGCTGCTTCAGCTGTCCCACGTATGCTCGTGATAGCAGCAAATATGGCTTCGTGATTTGTTACCTCAAGACCTTAATGCAAATAATAGTATTCCCATAAGATCAAACGCATCTGTTAAGTGTTTCTTAAACATGAAGTTGTGAATTTGAATTCTGTAGAAGATATAATGGATCTGTGAATAATAAAAAAAATTAAAAACAAAAACAAAAACATGATAGAAATGTGCGCTCCAGCCTCTAATAAATAGGCGAATTCCTGCTATTAGCATCTTTAATTAATTAAGAACTTCTGAAGCACTTTGTAATTTGTAAATTCCTTATTTCTTAAGCTTCTTAAAGCTTTCTTCTTTTATTGTCATTTCCGCACTACCTAACTAATTTCATTACGCATGTCTTCGATCGCAGTCACAAAAAGAGAACAACAAAATGTACAACTGCTCCCTGCTTCATCTGCAAGCAATTATTATTAACTAGAAATTTCTCTCTTGTGCGATGCACGAACTAGAATATTTGATTAGATTTTAAATTCTAATCAATATTCACTTTTTATAGAAGTGTGATTTTTTTATTCATTCAAATGAAATTTGAATTAGATATACGGAATTTAGAAGAAACATATGAAAATTTAAATTTATTTATTTATTTATCCTTTTAGGCCCCAATTGACATACTATTTAATTATGATACTTTCTATTTAATTCAATATATTACATCTCAATTAAGATATTGTTCAAATTCAAAATTAATCATTAGTTTCTTCATTTGAGCATCCAATTAAAATTTTATTTAATAATAATGTTTCTCATTTAATTCAATATACCCAAATTCTAATCAAAGTATTATTCAAATATCATTAATTAATTAAATATATTCAAATCTCATAATGTCATACCCAGCCGTTTTTAAATGAATTGGGTATTACAAGTTTTTAAAAATATAGTTAATTGATTGATTGATTTCTAGATCACCTCCAACATTTAACAATTTAAAACTAAGACATTCATATTTATTTAAACAATTTAATTTCTGGATCACACACTTTTAGTTATATTGTCAATAGAATTAAAACATATACCACCTAAAATTATTTTAATTCCATGATAATTAATTTCTTTCATAATGGCTTTGCAATTAACGGCATATTGATTATTAATTAATCTCTGTGAACCTTATTTCATGAGGGTTAATTAAATTCCTTGGATAACAGAACAGGAAATAAAGACTGTTGGAATGAAAACAGCTGGAAGATGATAGAAATAATGCTCATATTACTCTTTCAGTCCTTAACGTAAAAGCTAATTAACTAATTTGAATAATTAAAGATTTAATTAAATTAGTTAATATGATATTTTTTAAAAAATGTCTTAAACATCTGTCTTAAGTTTCTCTTTCTCCTTCTCTTATTTGATTATTGTTGAGTGAATATTAAAAAGGTTAGTTTAAGAAAAAACTAATAACATGTGAAATAAGTCTTAAATATAAAACAAACATCAACTCTCTAATTAAGTCTTATATTAAGATTTAGAGGAGTATATAATATTATGATATATATGAAAAGATAACCCCATACATATATATGCCGAAGCTAGACGGGTTGATTATTTATGCTTATACATATACACATATATAGTGGTACCACCATATATGTGCGTGTGAGTGAAGCAATACACCACCCACACACACGTATATATATGTTGTTCAGGCGGCGGCGAGGAGGCGAAGGAGGAAGGAAAGGAGAAGAGAAGAGAAAAGAGAGTGAAAGTCCATGGGTGATACCATAGGGTAAGTGTGAAGTTTGAATTGAGGCGTTAAATTGTGAGGGTGCATAGATTTTGTGGGCAGCGTCAGTGGTATGAAGGCCATCCAAAATACGTAGTTATCCCTGTCCTGGCACCGGGTCACGTTCTTAACACACAGCCCAGTAGACGACACCGTTTTGCAACAAGAATCGTTCTTATTCTTCAATGCTGAAATGAATATATGACCAGTAAATATTATTACTAGCTAGTCTGATGATATTTGTTTATCACTATCATCTAACGTACGTAATTAAAATGAAGGAATTGAAGGGGTGAAAAAATGGATACGTACCAGGAAGGAAGGGCTCTGGGAGGAGATTGCAGAACTGTTGACCATAGAAGGAGGAGGCTTTACCATTGTACTTGAATTAAGCCGATCAACCAATGATCTCAGCTTTTGATTGAACATGGAGCCTGCTGCGTTCAACTCTTGTACGC